GCCAAACATAACCACCAAACAAAACTAATGTCTTTCTAGTGTTAAAATTTATGAGAACAACTTAATGGCTTTCACATCTTCAGTCATGAGAAGCAGCTTGGTCTCTGAGGAGGGCTTAGTAGTAAGGCACGAATCAGCAATACCTGCAGTTTGGGGCAGTTCTCCCATATCTCTACAGAATAGCCTGACTCAGGGGTTTCCTTTAGCCTGGGATGTCACCGCTACAGAGCCTTTTCATACTATGCACATAAAGCATTTTGATTCCATTTATTTCTATTCCATTCCACTGGCACAGCCTTGCTGCATCTTCCTTGCTGCAACTGGACGTGTAGCACAAGTACAAGCCTCAAGAGGTAACGAAAACTTCATAATCCAATGGTCTATTTAGGGCTTGGAGAATGTACTTTTTTGGATTACAATCACAGATAGTCATTATGCTGGTTACGGAATTCAAGACAGCAATACCTGTAGTCCAAAAAAACCCCCCTATTTTTCCAATCTCTGGTTCTAGCCCACATTTGGCTTTGTTTGACCTGTGTGGACCATTAATCTAAAACGATTATCATGCTCTACAATGACTGATTTTAACCCCCACCCCCTTTTTTGGACTTCAGTAATTGGGGTGCCTCAGAGTATGCAGCTAACAAATGTCAAGGCTCTAGTTCATGTGGAAATGCTGTAAAATGTCAGCACCCTTGTGAGTCAGACAGTGAATTGGAACGGTCCAAGCATCTGATAGATATATACAGGTACCATCTGTTTGAACAAACAGTCACTGAATTAAACAAGACAGATAGTCTATAGACTTTATAGCATGAACCCACTATCCGATGGCAGTCAAATGATCACCGAGACCAGCTACATACCAATATGAGCACCCTCCTTATCACACCTTTCTCCATTTGCACAATTGCATCAATTCATCAATCCTGCACTCGAACATGCCCTTGTATTCGTACTTCTGCATATCTTTGTAACCCCACCTTCCTGTACGTTCACTGTTTGTAATTTTTAAATTAATTTTAAGGACAACTTTGTAGTTGCAGCTTTGGTTAGTTTTTTTTTTTTTTAAGCCAAACATTACTGAAAAATTTTAAATGACCAGCTCAGGAATGGAGAAGGAGAGGAGGAGAATTTCACCCCCTGGTATCACTTCAATGTCAGCTCCATTGTACACTATTGGTGATGGAAATGGCACCACAGATGGGTCATGCCCACCAACAGTGGGGACTCGGTTAATCGTGTGGATGAGCCACACTGGTAGTGGGAAGTGCCCAGTGTCTTGCAACTACTAGTTCCATTATTATTAGGGAAATCTTAGGGACACTACCAAGGTCATGTGGCCAGCATGACTGCATGGAACACTGTTACATTCCCACTGGAGTGCTATCTATTGATCTACTCACATCTGCATGTTTTCGAACTGCTAGGTTGGCAGACACTGGGGCTAACAGCAGGAGCTCACCCCACTCCGCAGATTCAAACTACCGATCTTTCAGTCAGTATGTTCAACAGCTCAGTGGTTTAACCCTCTGTGCCACCAGGGACTCCAATAGCTCTTACACATACATAAATTTAGATAATGTACAAAAAAAAGATTATTAGATGGTTTGCAAAACATGATCCTTCACAAGTTTATTTTCCCCCCTTGGAGATCAACTCAACATCCAATCCTTTAAAAGTGTTTGTTGGAATGAACTCTTTTGCAGTTCAAAGTAGTTCTCAAAGCAGTTCTCTGTGTTCTATATGTATTTTGTAAGATTCCTTTCCCCATATTCAGAGATGAAGCACCAGCAACGAAGGTAACACAAAACAAAACAAAGAAACAATTCCAAAATGCAGCATCAACCATTGTCCTGGATCTACTGCATCTCTGTTCTATGAGCAGCCCGATATTTTTATAGACCAAGCATCCTTTACCTGGAATTCTGAAATTCGAAATACTCCCTAATCCAAAAATATCCACGTGGGTGCCTGAGAGAGTAACACTTTTGCTTTTTGGTGATTCGAGATATCTCTTGATAGATAGATAGATAGATAGATAGATAGATAGATAGATAGATAGATAGACAGACAGACAGACAGACAGACAGATAGATAGATATTCCAAAATCACACACACACCCAAATTCAAAATCCAAAACACTTCTTTGTCCCAAACATTTCTGACAAGGGATATTCAACCTATAATACGTGTGGTGGTAGTCTGGGAAGACTACATGGACAACTGCATGCCCTGTGGCATAAGAAACTCTCCAAACTACACTTGTCAGAGTGCCTTTGTTTTGGGTAACCTATCTCATTCCACCTTCATTTATAGTCCACACATTCAATGAAAAGGCTAGTTTCCCTCTTCTTCTCCTGTCATGGCTGCAGCCTTTCTATTATAAGACTGGTACCCAAGTCGCTACCATCTTCTTAATCACTGACATAAAAATGTCACTTTAGGAATAGGACCTTGGACACAGGAGCCAAGCAATATATATATTATAAGGGGTATTAAAGCACACAGGTTACTACTGACACCAAAAGAGAATTATGAAAGGTTACTTATTTGGACCACACCTATACTGAGTGGCAATTCTGGGAACTGACGTCCAAAAAATAACCTTTCAAAGCTCTGTATGAAGGTACAGAGCTTTTTAAAAATGTGTGAGCCCGATGTATACACAATAAACATGAAAGGACACTCCAATCTGGCTGGAACTTCATATATGTGGCTGCTTTAATGAAAAGTCACTTTCTATTACAAAATGGTGTAATCTCATAATTTTGCAGAATGGAGATTCACATTTTTTTAAAAAAAAGATTCACACATATTTGCATAGATATGTGGCTCCTAACGTACATTCTTATCTATGTATCTAAGTAGCAAAAGTGAAGCTTTTATGAAACCAAATGCAGGTATTATTTCAAGCCTGTTTTGTTGCATGACAATGTACGTTGTCACTAAATATCTCTTGGTACAAAAATTCTTTCAGTTAACAACCACTGCCTTAGCATAGAGATCCCTTTACAGATGAAAATAATTGCTTTATTAGCCTTAAGTGAGTACAACTTTATTTATGGGCAATAATGTTTCAGACATGAAATGAGTCTGAAAATTGGATTTAACCTTATATAGTAAAATGGAAAAATATTTGATTGGCAAGTAACATTTTATGATTAAAGTTGTCAAAGAACAAAAATCATATGCTGTAATTACCAGAATTGTAAAAAAAAAATCCTATCAGTATCATATCAATAACGGTTTGTTCACAACACTGAAGTAACAATAAGAGATAGTTTGTCTTTGACTATTTCCCCCCTAACATCAAACGTGTCCTCATTGTCAAAGACAAAAGGGAGACAATGCTATTGTTCTTGTGCTTTTCTTTGACAGCTTATTTGTCAATAAGTATCTTTATAGAGTAATCCCTCTACATTTATTGGTCTGATAACTGTGATTACACATGGATTGCATTAAAAATTTATCTCTAGGAGTATCTAAGGATCTCACCACATTGAGGTCTGAATCAGTGGGTCAGCGGGGGGATTCGCCACGTGGCGTAGTGAATCCGTGGGGCAGCAGGTGGAACCATTGTCCCTGCACCCCACAACATCCACTGTACCCCTTACCCCATGCCACAGATGAAAGCATTGCCACCTAGCTTCCCCCCATTCTTCCCAATGGAACACGGAAAGCCTCCCATGTTCCCAGGGAAGCATCCAGCATGCTGCCAGGACGCTTCCTCTATGGAGCCCCACTGGAAGTTATCTGATGGCATCTGTCGGGCTCCATGGAGGAAGTGTCCTGGAAGTGTGCTAGGACGCTTCCTTTACTGCATGTGATGAGGCTGTAAGTCCTCCTCTGCAACTTCTCTGAAAATTGATCACAGTCATGCTGGAGGACTGAGAGATTCGTAGAGAGAACACCTCTTTAGGAATCCCTAGGCTCTCTGATGTTTACCATAGACTTGTGCTTGAAAACCTAGAAATTCCTAAATAGGTTTTCTTTCAGGTTGAAAATGATTTTAAATATGCACAGTTTTTCACTTTCATGGGGGTTCTATGCCCCTAACACCAGAGAAGGTGATGGTCTTACTGTACAAGAGAGTATTATAAATCAATTAATATAATTCAGAGTTTCTTAAATGTTTTCCATTTGCGACTCCTTGCTACCTGAGAAATCTTTATGTGACTCTTGGTATGTAGGTATATAAAGCAGGTATAAACAATCATTTACTGATAATTAATTACCATTTGCAAGGTTTCCTAACAGGCTGATCTTCCTTTTGGTGGAGTACAGCTGGAGCATTCACCTTGTTGCTAATAGAGTTGTATAAATGGGTGGCATTCAGGGGGAAAAAAGACTGTTGCCAAATTTTTCATGACCCCAACACTTAGCTAAGGGGACCCCATTTGGTGTTGGGACCCACAATTTAAGAAACAATTATCTAATTTACATCCTGTCCCACATGAAGTATACAAGGGGTGGGTGTGTACCAGACCTTTAGATGTTACTGGATGGTCCATGAGGCGGCAAGATGGGAACTGTATCCCAAAGACATCTGGAGACCCACACTTTCCCCCACTCCAGAACTGCTCAAGCTTTCATAGGGATAGAGACTACTGCTCTAAATTGCATAATTGATAACACAAGCCAGGGGTGTCAATATGACACTCAAACTCATTTTCACCAAGGGTCATATTAGCCTTGTGGTTGTCTTCAAAGGGCCACTTGTAATTTTAAGACTGTATAAATGTAACTATGTTACCCTGCCATTGAAAGCCTCGTGGGCTACATAAAATGACATTGCGGGCTGTGATCAGCCTGTGGGACTCGCGTTTGACATGTGTGATGTAAGGTATTACAACTAGCATAGTTGCCTAACAGTTAAAAGAAACCCTATAATATCATCTAAATATACAAGCACAAGGAAGACTCTTTAGAGTCATATAATAAGAAATAATTCCCAGGAAAAATGAATCAAATTGTTTGTTTTTAAGAGCATACTTACAGAGGACAAGCTTTCATTTTCACGAAGACACGCCGTTTGGAGTTCTGATTTCAGGGCTGCAATGTGATGGCGGTGGGATGCGATTTCTCTTTCTAGTGTGGAGACTCTGGAGCCCACAAGTTGATAGACATCCATAAAACTTACAATCATAGCCTTAAAGGAAAGGAAACGGGATCATTACTGTCTGTAACTGCTATATCAAGTCTATGCCATCTCTGCCAAACCACATGTTTCTGAAGATTCAACATCCTATTATCTAGTTTGTACAGACAAACTTACATGAATTCATATTTAAATACTTTCCAAAAGAGAACATCAGTTCTTCCCTCTTAAAGTATGTCAAAGGGTATGCATTTCTGCCAACCTTTTGTACATTATAGCAGACTAAATGCACAAGGTTTTCCACCCCCACTACAGTATTTACAAAACAATGCATTTGGATAAGCCAATAGTGCTTTTGGACTCTACTTAAACTCATATCTTGTCTAATTTCACTCAGTCAAGCTGAGAGGAACACCAGAGCTGAGCATGAACCATTTTCAAAATGAATGGAGTTGCTAATTCTCCCAATTCACCTTTAAAAAGAATTAGATTTAATTTGGCATGAAACTAAAGAAAGTTACAGACCTCTGAAAGTAAATAACCTGATTACAATATAGCTGGGAAAATAATCCTGTTCAGGTATATAGTGAAGGAATGTCCCAGCTGTGTAATATTGATCAGGCCGATAATAAAGTTAACTGCACAAGAGAGTATAAATGATTTGGCAGTGCTGGTAACTTGATATCTGACCTAAATAGTATAACACTGCTGGGATTATTGGACTTCTTTACAACTGGTTAATCACATTTTATAGGTTATAGTTTCCCTCTGAAGTGACCTGTACTGATTTTTCAAATGTAAGAACAGCCTTAAGGTTGATAAAAAATTATACTGAATACATGAAGACTTTTTTTTAATGAGGTTCTCCTTAGATAGATTTTTGTTAAATAAGCAGCTTAATGATTGAAAATAACCATGCTAGTCAACATGAAGACTTCTGTGTAAGGACATCATACTCCTCCAACTGGGCAGGAAAAAGCCCCAATTAATCCTCTACTGCCCACTTTCTCAGCTGCTTTTAAAAGGTCCCAGTTTCTCTTTTTCCATTTATCTGTGGTTTGCTTCCACTGGTGCAAACTGAATTCAAAGTGCAAAAGTAAATTATTCAATGTGGAGAGAGGAAGGAGTGCAAATCTGCCCTTCCTAATAGGCTCCAGTAAAAGCTAACCACTGCTGACTCCCAAAGCGTGTGTTCTTTCTCACAAATAACTTTTCTCATCTATTTTTACAACTAATTTCCATTCAAAGAAACAACCCTACAATCAAACAAAGACATATACAGAAAGACAAATTTCACAAAACGAAAGGATCATATCCCCCTTACAAAAATTAATCAAACATTTTTCTTAATATAAAACACTAACTAAAACAACTAACAAACTCAATCGAAAACAATAATTCTAACTACAGTGTTCCCTCACTTATCACGGGGGTTCCGTTCCAGGACCACCCACGATAAGTGAAAATCCGAGAAGTAGGGATGCCATATTATTTTTAATATTTATACATTATTTTATATATTTTATATATTACTTTCTTACCTGCACTTCCCTACCCGCTTCCCGGCCTATCCAAAGGGCACCTGTCTGCCTCCCTGGTCTCTGCAGAGCCTCCAGAACCACGCAGGCAGCAGCAGGCCAGGGAGGCAGGCTTTCCCCGACATGCATCAGGCTACCACACTTCCGGAGTCCCTGGCCTCCCTGGCCTCCACTGGACGTAAATATTTAATATTAATATTTTCAAAAACCCACGAAACAGTGAGTCTGTTAAAAGTGAACTGCGAAGTAGTGAGGGAACATTGTACTAACTACTGGAGCCATGGTGGCGCAATGGGTGAAACCCTTGTGCCAGCTGAACTGCTGACCTGAAGGTCAGTGGTTTGAATCCACAAAATGGGGTGAGTTCCTGTCTGTCAGCTCCAGCTTCCCATGCAGAAACATGAGAGAAGCCTCCCACAGGATGGTAGCACATCTGGGCATCCTTTGGGAAACATCTCTGCAAACAGCCAATTCTTTTACACCAGAAGCAACATGAAGTTTCTCAAGTTGCTTCTGATATGATAAAAAATTCTAACTACTAGAACCGCACTGAACACATCCTTCACACAGAACAATAAAAACTAGTCTATAAGCCTCTCTCTGCCTGTTGCTTTTAATTTCTCAATTTACTGTTCCCTTGAAATGTCCTTATATAACCCTTCTGCTTTTAGTAACATTCTTTTAAGTCAGAAACACAATAGTAGAATTCTGTCCCTTCTTTTGGTGTAAAAGGTGATAAAATACCTCTCATAGAAGTCTAGAGTTGGAAGAGACCTCATGGGCCATCCAGTCCAACTCCCTGCCAATAGGCAGGAAAATATTATTCAAAACATCCCCGATAGATGGCCATCTAGCCTCTGTTTAAAAGCCTCCAAAGAAGGAGCCTCCACCAAACTCCAGGGCAGAGAGTTCCACTGCTGAACAGCTCTCACAGTTTGGAAGTACTTCCTCATGTTCAAGTGGAATCTCTTTTCCTGTAGTTTAAAGCCATTGTTCCATGCCCTAGTCTCCAGGGCAGAAGAAAACAAGCTTGCTCCCTCCTCCCTATGACCTCTCTCCTCACATATCTATACATGGCCATTATGTCTCCTCTCAGTCTTCTCTTCTGCAGGCTAAACATGCCTAGCTCTTTAAGCTGCTCCTCATAGGGCTTGTTCTCCAGACCCTTGATCATTTTAGTCGCCCTCCTGTGGACATATTCCAGCTTGTCAACATCTCCCTTAAATTGCAGTGCCCAGAATTAAACACAGTGTTCCAGGTGTGGTCTGACCAAGGCAGAATAGAGGGGGAGCATGACTTCCCTGCAAAGACTCTGGCACAAGCCAGTACAGGTGGTCCCAGTGGTGATCGGCACACTGGGTGCAGTGCCTAAAGACCTTGGCCTGCACTTAAACACAATAGCTGCTGACAAGATTACCATCTGCCAGCTGCAAAAGGCCACCTTACTGGGATCTGCACAAATTATTTGCCGATACATCACACAGTCCTACACACTTGGGAAGTGTCCGACGTGTGATTCAATTCAACAGCTCATATCGTGTCAACTTTTCCAGTTGTTTCTCTGCAATCCTGCTGTCACCTGGGATTGCGACATCGATGATCCATACTTTGTTTTTTAACGCGATTGTGAGGTCAGGAGTATTATGCTCCAAACCTCTATTATTATTATTATTATTATTATTATTATTTCATTATACAGACTTCTTAAACTTTTTCCACTTGTGACCTCTTTCACCTATGAAATTTTATGTGACCCTGACTAAATATACATACAAAATAGGTATAAAATTAATCATTTACTGATAACAAATAAGCATTTGTAAGGCTCACTAAACAGGCTGATTTTCCTTTTTGTGGAGAACAGCTGAAGCATTTTCTGCAGAGTGCACTGTAAACCCTAATGTTGCTAACAAATTTGTGTAAATGGATGATGTTTAGAAAACTTTTACTATTGCCAATTTTCTGTGACCTCAACATTGCATAAAGGGGACCCTATTTCAGTTTAAGAAGCAGTGCACTATACAGCTAGTGCAGATCTCCCCGCTCTTGATTTCTAGAAATGCTTGCGGAGCAAAAGCAAAGAACAGAACCCTAGACAGTTCCCATGGTGCGTAGTAATAAATTTTACTTCATCGTGGAAAAATGAAGAAATATACTCTATCACATGCCTCTCAATGTTTAATCTTTTCCATTATGACAAGGCAATCCTTGAATGTTTTTATACAGACAAGACTAACCATCACTGTTTTCTACTCGGGAAACATCAGAAAGTTAGACAAGTACAAATGACAAGACAAAACAGCATCATATGTAACCATAAAAAATTATCACTATTATGAATGCTGCTATTATCCAGTTTAATGTCCCTAGTGGAATTGAGACAAGGCTATATACATTTTAATTTGGACAAGTTCTTTGAGGTAACATTTCCTACTTTCCCAAAAGGAACTGAGGAATTTTCAGTATCAAGTGTTCAGAGCCTCATATTTAAATCTCAGTGGAAAGATGGTATTTCCAGTAGTCTACTGTATTTATTAGTACGCTGCCAAGAACTGATTCATTGCTGACTCAGCTTAAGGGATCCTATGGGATAATTAAGAAAAATCAGGATTTCTGTTTAGGAGGGGGAAAGGCACTTTACTAGATACTATAATGTGAAGAGTTCGTAAGTCATAAAATTCTGCCAATCCCTTCTGTCAGCAGAAGGACTTATACAGAGAAGAAGTGATCTTCTATCCTAAGTTTAACAAGCCATTAAAAAATATTCAAAAGCTTAAGTTGTCTGTGACTGTGTAGAACAAACATTTAGAAAAATATTTAAATATTTCACTGAATTTAGAACTCAAGATTTCTCTGTACAGCTCCCTTTTGCTGATAAAAAAAATAACTTGCAACTCAAATATTTTTATTTTTATCCTTAAGACTCCATTTCAGCTTGCTGATGGAGATTTTTCTGAGCTGCCTCTCTTCAGGTATGATATTTATTGAATTTACTGAACAGATTGTCTAAGAGTTCTCTCTTTTGGCTTTGTTGTTATCATTATGATTTATTTATACAGTGTCATCATGGTACACGGTGCTTGTCGCATTAAGTCTTTAAATACAGTGATATATGAAATCTACAAGTGTACAATTATCCCATCTGTCATAGGAATTCAGTGGTATAAACACTGTCTCTTCTTAGGCTTTTTTGCCAGCTGCATTTGAAGGAAATGCACTCTTGGAAGTTGTGCCTGTCTTACATTTGTGAAAGTAAGAAATGTGGAAAAAGTATTAAAGGTAAATAGATTCCCAACCATTTCCTGAAGCTTAGTATTCTGAAGACATCTATGACAAATAAAATTAGGCTTTTAAATACCATATTTACATATCTGAAGATATAAAGTTATGATTTTAGATGCCTTGTGATGTGTAACATGGACAAAAGTATAGTTAATTTCACACATGTTCACTTTTAGCCTACACCTGGTCTTCAGGTTTCAAGGAGTCTCTGCTTTCTTTGCAGACTTCTCT